TATTCCCAGACAGAAAAGAGAATGGTTACAGAATTCTAAATCCAGATGGACACACAATAAAATTAACAAGTTTATGTTATGTTATGCTGTTTATGTTGATGAAAGATCACAGCCCAAATCTAATCCAAACTAAGATGTCTATCCAGATTTATTTGTTAGAAGAAGACTTCCACCAGCAATCAGAAGACATGGAGTCCTTTCATCCTCCAGAGGTCTTGCATCCAGAAGGGGCTACACCTGCAGTGGACCAGCCTAATGATGAGGAACCAGACGGAGCGCAAGAAGCAGAGCCAGGCATCTAAGTCCAGATGAGATGGTCAGAATGCTCCAGTAAAGGTATGCCACCTAACAGATTCTTTTATCAAGCCATAGAGGAAAGAATTCCAAAACCCTTTGATTTGAAAAAGATCAGGGAACTGCCAAAGACAGATTCTGAGAAGTGGGTGCAAGCTGCTAGTGAGGAGGTGCAATCTTTATATAAAAACATGGACTTTGCCAGATTTGCCAGAAGGAAAAAGAGCAATTGACTGTAGATGGGTCTTTACCACAAAGCAAGATGCAGAAGGGGAGATTCAGATATACAAAGCAAGACTTGTGGTTAAAGGTTACACTCAAAAGTATGGTGAGGACTACAATGAAACATTTGCTGGATAGTCACACACACAGCCATCAGAAGTCTCCTAACTGTCGTAGCCTACAAGAAAATGGATGTTCAACATCTGGATGTCAAGACAGCTTTTCTTTATGGTGATCTATCTGAACAACTCTTTATGGAACAGCCTCTAGGATTGAAGTTCCAGGAAAAAAACCATCTTGTATGCACATTGCAAAAGAGCATTTATGGTTTAAAACAGGCCACTAGAGCATGGAGTGAGAAACTGAACCAGCTTCTTATCAAAGAAGGGTTCACTCCAGGCACTGTTGACAAATGTGTGTACAAGAGATTAAAAAAAAAAAAATAGATGGACTTACCTCACAAGATATGTGGATGATCTGATCCTGTGCAGTGAAAACAAAGCAGATAGCAAAGAGATAATCCAAAATCTCAGGAAAGAGATTGATATCAAGAATTTAGGGGACATCTCACACTATCTTGGAATGCAAA